CAGGACACAGAGTGATTAGCCCATGGCTAGGATTAGGAGTAGGGTGCCACCCAAATCACATGTGTGTGAAAGGGAGGCTTTGTATCACAAAGACAATCTGGTGTTCACTTTTGTGACAAGCTAGAAGGTAGATCAAGAGCAGCAGGTGCCAGCTACGTCTACTGGTTTAAAATCAGTATTAAGAAGCTATAATTCCTTTCATTTCTTCATTTGTAACCATTTATTGTATGCATACTAGGTTCTTGGTGTTCTTTAGCACAAATAGTATGTGTCCCAGCTCTCAGGCAGCTGGCAGATAGTCCTTCCTACTGCCTGTACAGTACTTCCTACTGTGTGAAGAGAGGACAGGAGTACTTGTGTGTTGTAGGTAGAGAAAGAACATGTAGGGGTTATGTTTGTGCCTTGCTAAGGCTGGAATTTATCATAAAGATAGTGGGGAGTGAGTGAAAAGCTTTAGAGGACAGATGAGGGCTGAAGGAGTGGTTATTTGATCAGTAGGTACAAGACCTAAGGTGAGAGGACCAGTTATTAGTTACATGGAGGGCATGCTTAACCAAGGCAGGGTATAGAAAGGGGGTGGTGGTGCTCAGGAGGGGAATGAGTCACTATTAAATGGTGAATTTTTTATATTTTGTTTGTATTTATTATTTTTATTATCACATTATTTTAAAAGTTTTAGTTTTTAACAGATTCAATATGGTTCATAGATAAAATTCGAAGGACATAATGTTATTCCCTTCCTTCCTCCCTCCCTCCTCCTTTTTCCCTCCCTCTCTCTCACCTCTTTTCTTCTGTCTTTTTTTAGTTTTTGAGATAACATATTTTAGATTTACATTATAGTAAAAAGGCTTATTGAACTTTGGCAGACCTGGGGAGCTGAGCTTTGACTTACTTGGTTACCTTGGGCCAATGACTTTCTCAGTTCAATTTGGTCCTCTAAAATGTGACTGCTCCAAGTGTCCATCCAATGTATACATGTCCCTATCACTTCCTTTTAGGGTCATGACTAGGTAGTGAATAAAAACTGTCTCAGAGCCATTCTTTAATTCCACATTTTAGCTGGTTTTGCTTTAGTTCACCTGTTCCTTTATTTTCTCAAGAATTGTGTATTCAAGACTTTGTGTCCCACATATATTTAATCAAATTCCAGAGCAAGAAAACATTTTGAAGCTATACAATTTAAAATTATTAGGCACCAACTTTCTAAAAATATCTGTCATTCACTGGCCACCAGGAATCTCACTGGGCACTCTTCTCCCAGTGTCTAACCAACATGCTCTCTTCTCCTCCCTAGTCTCAAATTCCTGTTACTTTATGTTGTAGTTATTTTTTCAGATGTTCAACTGATTAAGTACAGTTTGTGTGTCATGGTTTCATTCCTTGCACTCAAAAGAGATCATAAGCTATGTTTTCTGAGCACAGTACAGCCCCGAGAGGAAGTATGGTTGCAGTTTATAAAATAACGATGCTTTTCAGGTTGCTAGAGTTCTTAATATCAATGTTGTTTTGATGATAAAACTAACACATTTAATAGCTTCCAAATGGATAAAATCCAGAATGTTTAATAAGCACCATATTATCTGTCTTCTGACTTCCTTTTCATCTTTATTTCCCAGTTTGTAATTTTTCTGTGCACTTCCTTGAAAAACCTGAAAGATTTCTAGATTTTTCTTTCTTTCTTCTCCTTCCTTCTTCCTTCCTCCTTCCTTCCTTCCATTCTTTCTTCCCTTCTTTCTTTTTCTCTCCCTTCCCTTCTTCCCTCCCCTCCCCTCCCCTTCCCTTCTTCCCTCCCCTCCCCTCCCCTCCCCTCCCCTCTCTTTCCCTTCCCTTTCCCTCCCTCCCTTCCTTCCTTTCTTTTTTCTTTCTTTAGAGATTTATTTATTTGAAAGAGTTACAGAAAGAGGGAGGGAGAGACAAGAGAGAGCAATCTTCTACCTAGTTCACTCTCCAGGTCTCCCACGTGGGTGACAGGAGCCTAAAAATTGGGCCATCTTTTGCTGTTTTCCCCAGGCCATTTATCAGGGAGCTGGATCAGAAGTGGAGCAGTCAGTACATGAACTGGTGCCCATATGGGATGACTGCATTTTGGGTGGCAGCTTTACTCTCTATGCCATAATGCTGGCCCTGAACCTAAACAATTTCTTTTTCTTTTTTAAGATTTATTTTCTGTTTATTTGAACGGTAGAGTTAGAGAGAGAGGTAGAGACAGAAGGAGAAAAAGAGAGAGATCTTCCATCTACTGGTCACTTCCCAAATGACTACAATGGCTGGGCCTGTGCCAGGCTGAATCCAGGAGCTTCATCCAGGTCATCCCTGTGGGTATAGCAGCACAAGGACTTGGTCCATCTTCTGCTGCTTTCCCAGGTACATTAGCAAGGAGCTGGATTGGAAGTGGAACAGCAGGGACTTGAACCAGCACCCACATGGGATGCTGATAATATAGGCAGTTGCCTTCATCCATTATGCCACAACAGTGGCCCCACCTGAACAATTTCTAACTTAGGGATTTCAGTATGTTATCTCCTAAGATCTCCATATTTTCTGGTCATTTGACTCAAATCTCAGTTCCTTAGGAACATTGGTTTAAATTTGTGGGAAATCTGAAACTAATACTATTACTATTTTGCTTCATAACACCAATTGGAATATGCTATAAGGCATTTTTTCCTATGTTATTATTTGAGATTATTTAAAATTTGGTTTTGCTTGTAGATTAATTTTCATAAAGGCAGAGGCTGTGTCATTTATTTTATTTTATTTTTATTTTTTTGACAGGCAGAGTGGACAGTGAGAGAGAGAGACAGAAATATCTTCCTTTGCCGTTGGTTCACCCTCCAATGGCCGCCACACCTGGTGCGCTGCGGCCGGCACACCGCGCTGATCCGATGGCAGGAGCCAGGTGCTTCTCCTGGTCTCCCATGGGGTGCAGGGCCCAAGCACTTGGGCCATCCTCCACTGCACTTCCCTGGCCACAGCAGAGAGCTGGCCTGGAAGAGGGGCAACCGGGACAGAATCCGGCGCCCCGACCGGGACTAGAACCCGGTGTGCCAGCGCCGCTAGGTGGAGGATTAGCCTAGTGAGCCGCGGCGCCGGCCGAGGCTGTGTCATTTGATTCATTATAGTGTCTCAAGAGATTTTTATGGTTCTTAGAGCATATGTATCAAAATAAATGTTTAACAAATGAAAAACTAATAAAATACTTTGTGGATAAAACAGGAAACACTAAAAGTGGTACCTAATTTTTCATTTGGTGTTGGAAGGAAGAGAGTGAAATCTACTTGGTTTCCACTTGTCTGGCAGATGGTATTGACAAACAGTCATCTTCCCATAGGTTTGCTTTTTATTGTAGATGATTGTAGAACATTTAAAAATGTGTGAAAGCACATAGAATGAACATCACCTTTACTCCTTCTTAGAGATAATCACTGTTAAAATAATGTGATTTATAGTCTAAGAGATGTTCTCTCTCTCTCTGTTGCAAATGTACCATTATGTATCTTTGTGAACATTTTCCTCGTTTGATTAAACATTTTCCCATATAACTTCTTTAAAAGATGTGTATTGGAGTGGGTGGTTAGCCTAAGCAGTGAAGATGTTTGCACCCTGCTTTGAAGTGCCTGGGTCTGAACCCTAGCTCTAGACCTTAAATCCAGCTTCTCGTCAATGCAAATATTGGGAGACAGTGGAGATGGCTCAAGTGGTTTGGTTTCTGCCACCCAGGTAAGAGATCCAGATTGAGTTTCTGGCTCCTGGCTTCTATCCTGGCATACTTTCATACCTGGCACACTAGCACATTGAAGGTCTGTATCACTTTCTTTCCTCCTTTCCCTTTCAGATAACAGCAACAACAACAACACAACAACAACAACAAAGTATACACACAACCATGGTTTCATATGAATATAAAAATATAACCAACTCCATGTTACTGGAATTTTAGATTGTTTTCAGTGTATCTTAATTATGAAAAAAAATAAAATGATACTCTTACAGTAAAAATGTTTGCCAACATCCTTGCTTTTAAATCTAAGAGCTGATACACATAGTGATTATATGCTTTGGAGAAAGAGTGGGTGGATTTGAAGGCTCTTTTGCCACATATTAATTATGAAGCTTGGAGCATGTTGAATAGCTTTTCTGACTCAGTTTTCTTAACATTAAAATGATTATAATATTCTTCTATAATAGCACCTGTCTTAAGAGTAAGAACTTAGTAACTGTTAGCTCTTTTGTGGTTTGTTCTTTATTTTTTTTACTTTTTACATTTATATAAAAGGAACCAATTTCATATATAGTTTTAAGAGCATAATGATACTTCTCAACCTCTCCTCCCCTTCTCCTTTGCTTATTTTTCTATTTTCTTTTTGCAATGACATACTTTCAACTTTATTTATAATCACAAGCTTAATACACCACTAAATACAGAATGCAACAAGTAGCAAGTAGAAAAACCACTGTTCCTCAAGAGTGTAGACAACTACAAACAATAGTAAATTATGCTTCGTGAAATAAATCAGTCTCAAAAACACATAGATCATGTTTTTCGTGATTTGTGGTAACTAATATAAAGAATGCAAAAATGTAATGTATATGAAAAATTGACATTTTGAGATTTGATTTATTATTAAGATGATTCTCAGAGATGAAACTTTTATATTTCTAATGTTGTTACATACATTGTTAAATTGCCTTTAAGTCTTCAGAAATGTTGAAAAATTTGGAAGAATATGTAAAATTAACACTATTTCAAATGATCACTATCAATTGTTGAATGGCTACAAATGGTACATAATAGTTTTTTGGATATGACTAGAATATTTTTCGTGTTTATTGTCAAATTTTGTTCCAAAAATGATGTGTTTCTATGGCATATTTAAAATGTTTTCTCTGAGGCAACTCCTTGTAGAATAAGAGCACTAATCTTTTCACTGGTATATAGAAAGTGTTTCCATTATTTGGTTTTGATTTTGTGTTATTGCTTTGTACAGAATTTTAACTACTCATGGTATCAATCTATCAGGATACCTTCACACTGAATTCTTTAATACTTGTAAAATTAGAGAGTATGATCTTAAACAGTACATGGGATTTCTTTTTTCTCAAATGCTTGATAATTTAAGCAAGATTAACCATTATATTCCATGGTATTGAAATCTACTTTATCATATACTAAGTTTCTGTGTTATATTGTGTTTCTGGGTTAATACACTATCATGATTATTCTAGTCTATTGTCTATTTAATGTTGCTTATAATCATTCTATCCCAAACATGATGTTTATTATTCAGTGTTTTTTTTATTAATATAACAAGGTTGTGAATCTTTATAGGAACCAGAAATTCTATTTCTTTTGATGAGAGCTAAGTTATTATTTAAAAAAGGATTATAAGTTAAATATCGTTCTCTTAATTTGAATGTCAAGCATTCCTTTTACACAGTAAATCAGTTGCTGTCAAAAAGATTTATTAAAGAAAAACCAACAAAATGAAAACAGACCCCTTAAAGAAGTGTTTCAGAGAAGAATGAGGATCTAAGTTCTTGAATTGCTAGCCAAGAGCATTCTTAAGAAGAGTGCAATATTCAGTGTTTAAGACCTGTAAAAAGAAGGACAAATATTCAGGACACAAATTTTAACAGAAGGAAAATTAGATTGATTAATATATTGGTACACAATATTTGTATGTGTGTTTAGGTATGCACTTGTAAAATAGCACTTCACTTTAATTTGTATAATTAATAAGCCAAGAACATCATATTTCTTTTACATCTTATATACAGATACTGAATAGTCTTAGTTCTTATGTGAGGATTGCAAACATATTTGCCAGCAGAAAAGAATCATTGGTGAGATATTGATAACAATATTTAAAATAGGCATGTTATAAGATCTTTTAATACTATAGTATTTTCTAGATATATCTTCATGTCACTAGTTCTCACTAAAATTACATATTGAAGGTCAACTAAAATGATATACATCATTAAATTTAGCCAGAAGTAAGCTTTTTCACAACTGACTCTCTATAACCCGAACACTAGGGTGTAACATTTTACATATAGTTAGGTAACTGTTGGATAACCTAGATTTTGTGATACTAGGGAAATTTTCTTACTATTGTTGTTTTAAGTTTCCATATGTATATTCTGCTGAATGACCTCTATTCTTAAGCATCTGCATTTCCCAGGTTTGCTACTTGCCTTACATGCTCACATTCTTCCAGTTTTTTTTTTTTTTTAAGATTTTTTTGCTTGCAGGAAAAACTTCTTAGTTATTAAGACTAGCTGTCCAGGCTGTTACTCAAATCTAAGTGGCATCCCTTTTGTTCTCTCAAATCATGAATTCGTCTGGGTCTTCTTTCAGTAGTTTAAAGATTCCTGTTTCAGTTGTAGAGGTGTCTTCCTGGTGGTTTGGGGTGTCTTCTACAGGGGTAGCGTCAGACAGTGATTCAGAGATGCTGGTTACAGATTCTGATCCGCTATCTTCAGGGAGATCTCCTGTAGTGTTGATAGCCGATTCATCTATGAAGTTCATAGCAGCTGTTGCAGGGACAACAAAGTCGTATCTGGATTCAACGGCAGTGAGCAAAACGGAATGGGTTTCAAGTTTATTTACAACATCACTCTCCACCCAAATGTTGACCTCCTCAGTAGAGTCTTTGTCGGCTAATGGAGTCTCTTCTGGATTATCTTTGTCTTTTTCAGGAGGAGTAGAGAGCTCAAACACGGTGATGAACTTTTCCTCATCAGAGTCAGTAAATTTAGTTACAGCACTGGGGTCATCCTCTGAAATAACTAGGTCAATTTCAGTTATGTTCTCCTCTTCAAGGTCAGTTACGTCTGGAATAGTGGTGAAGTTTTTCTCAGTAGAAGGAGGGATTTCATCCTCAGGTATAATGGAGTCAGCGACAGCGTCATCAGCAGGGATATTGGATTTGATCGAGGAGTTAGTATCATTTACATCAGCTTCACCTGTTTCAGCTGAGAAAGCAGGGGTGTCAGCAACGCTGGTGCTGCTTTCTTCTGGTGTACCAGAGACTTCAGAAGTTACTGTGATTTCTTCATCCTCTGTTTCAATAGTCGCCAAGAGGATGTCTTCTTTTGTTATGTCAGTGGAAAAATCTATTAAAGAAACAGTAGCAACTGGTGATGAAATGCTCCCATGTTTCATTGAAATGAAATTTTCAGTAATAGACTCATTGGCTCTGGAGTCTGTAGTGCCAGACTGACTGGTAACTTCTTTCTCCAGATGAGTCGTTGGCTTAATAATATGGGTTTCCACATCCTCCTCTGATTTGAGTCTTTCCTTTGTAGGGGTAAGCTTATTACCTGTAGTTGTTGAAAAATCAGTTTCTAGGAGGAAGTCATTTACTGAAGTAATGTGGTCTCCTTCTGAAGTGATTGTTTTTTCTGATCTTGTAACAGTGCTGTCAGCCCCAAAGAAAATGGTTGCTTCATTTGGTGCTTTACCGCTTTCTGTTGGAGGATGAGAATAAATTTTAGGCAAACCATCTTCAGCCATGAGGTGACGTGGTGCTATGCACTCTCACAGGTGTTTCTGTTGGTCTTAGTGGCATCCCTAGGCGAGGGAGTGGTTGTCATTACAGTGATTGAAGCACTGGTCATCATGGTGATTGTTGCATCAACAGCAGTGGTGATGGCACTGGCTGCATAGCAGGAGATGTTTTCATTGCTATGATTGATATTAGATGAAAAGACAATAGAGTCCTCCCTGATTATGAGATCAAAATTTACACCAAACATTGCAAATGTAGGAAACTCAGGATTTACCATGTTTATGTTTACAAGGGTCATGCCATCTGATAGGGAGTTAGTGTCTGTTGAAAAAGAAATTGCAGAGTTTGCTTGATACTTCGTGGGTCTATTGTCCACAGAAGAAATTCTGAATTCCATGATATTATCAGCATCAGTTTAAAGTTGCTGTCTTCCAAGTAAGTAAAAATGTCTTTTTGAGGTGAACTGTCTTCCCTTGCAATTTATGGTATTGAAGTGTCTAAGGAGGTTTTCATGGAGATGCTGGCAGTGAATGTAGCTGGAGGAAGACAATAAGTAAGAGAGACTTCAGTCCTCTTCTTTGGGAAGGGAAGCCTCATGCTTTCAGTAGGAATAACAGAAAATAAGTTAATGACCTGTTAGAGTCTTTGTTTTCTTCTTCATTGTAATTTTTACTCTTTCTTGAGTTAACGGTGAGTGTGCCAAGTTTTATAGATTCAATTTTTTGAGGAATATTTTTCTGCAGTTTTATTTCAACTCCTAAAGCAATTTATGGCTGTGAGTTAGTATCAAAACTGACCCAGAATTAAGAAGCAGAGGTGACAAATTAACTTTAAAAATTAGATTCTCAATTTCAGAGAGAGTATTTCTTAAAATGATGTTAAATTATATCAGAAATCATCATTGTGTTATAAACTTTTAGGTTAGGTGAAATGAGAATTAATGCTTTAGAATCACTCTTTCCCTTGTATTAACAGAACTAGTATTTGAGATTCAAGCACAACCAAATCCAAGGCCAGCATTACTAACTAGAGTTGTGGTTTTCAGGTCATGGACATATACATATTATCATTAGATATGGATCCAATGTCAAAATTTACAGCTTCTTCTGTTAGCTAATTAGCTTGACATAGATATATTAATATTCTCTGTATAAAGATCAGTATGGATTTTAAGATAGATATTTTTCATTTTAATGACATAGACAACTTCTCTAGAAATGTTTTTCCATCAGCGAGATGTCCCTTTGAGGGTCCAGTGTCTGTTGATATAGGAAATGCTGTCAGAATCAGAGATAGTAAAGGAAGAATCATGTTAGTAATAGGCAAAGTTATTGTTCCAAACAGAAATACTGCCATTTCTCAGGTAATAAAGGAAGTCGCAAGGTAAGGTCATTCTCTGAGTTGGATAAGTTGAAGTTTTTTTCTTTTACAATAATTTTTTTAATCATCTAGTATTTGTGAAGCTTAATTCAAGATAAGGCATACAGTAAACAAAAGATTTGGTGCCCTTTTAGGAGGAACTACTTTGTATACAAATGAAAGATGAATTGGTCATGAGTTATATAACTGCTGGGAGGGGGCTGGTGCTGTGGCATAGTAGGCTAAGGCTCTGCTTGTGGCTCTGACGTCCCATATGGGCACCGGTTTGTGTCCTGGCTGCTCCTTTTCCAATCCAGCTCTCTGGCTGTGGCTTCAGAAAGCAGTAGAAGATGGACCAAGTGATTGGGTCCCTGTACCTGCATGGGAGACCTGGAGGAAGCTTCTAGCTCCTGGCTTTGGCTTGGTACAGCTCTGGCCATTGCAGCCATTTGGGGAGAGAACCAGTAGATGGAATACATCTCTCTCTGACTCTCCTTCTCTCTCTCTCTGTAACTCTGCCTCTTAAATAAATAAATAAATAAAATCTTTAAAAAAATAATGGCTGGAAGTTATCTTGTAAGATCTGGTATCTGCTATGTTGAATAAAATTAGAATAAGGAGCAATATATTCAGTTTCATGAGCATTTAATCTCTGGGTGGCTATGTCAGATGAAATGTCATCTTCATTTTACTAATTTGTCAAATAGTCTTTAATTTCAGGGATGACTTTTGTATTCACATCAACTTGATTTCCATCGGTCTAGCAGTGAGATGAAATAACATTGATTGTAGCCTAATTTTTATTTTTAAATTATATTTATTTATTTGAAATGCAAAGACACAGAAAGAAGGAGAAACAGAGACAGAGAGAAGGGGAGAGAGGCAGAAAGATGAAAGAGGGGTCATTTCTTCTGTCTGCTGGTACACTCCTCAAATGCCTGTAACAATTAGGGCCAGATGGCACCCCATCCAGGTCTTCACTGTGGGTGGCGGGAACCTAACTAGTAGGACCATCATTTGATGCCTTCCCAGGTACATTATTATCAGGAAGCTGGATCAGAAACAGTAGCAGGGACTTGACCCAACACTTTGATACCTATGTATACATATATCTATATCTATCTACCTATCTATCTATCTATTCCACCTCAATTTATTCTTTTCTAAGGGGAATATCATTACAATTACCTGTGTTTTTAAAATGGTTGACCTTAAAAAAAAGAAGCATGGAGTGAAACTCCTGATGAGAATGCTAGAGTTTAAGCTGTCTGATGTTGAAACTGGAGTCACATGCTCCAGGAAATACAGCTTATACTTCTCTGGCCCATTTATCACTGACATGAAAAATACTATCTGACCTAAAGACAGGGAATCAGGTTCTGTGGACAAGCTTTATTTGAAAGTAGTTTCTTTCACTGGAATATCACACTAAAGGGAACGTTTTATCTTTTCTCAGCATAATATTAAAATTGCTCCTATTGACATGCCTTTTAGAATATGCATCTTACTTTGGCAGCTGTAGCAAAAGCTTTCATCCCTAGCAATTGTCCTTTACTTGCTCTAAACGTTGACATATTTGGTTCAGTGATTATGCCTTCTTTTTAGTAGAGATGTCTTCAAGTCGATGTGGAAAAGCTTCTTTTTAAAAATTTTTATTGAAGTGAAAATGTTAAATCTGCTAATAAAAAGTGGATATTTCTCAATAAGGCCCAGGGAAGTTATTTGGCACATGTATGATTTTCAGGGATACTTGACTGGGAAGAGTCATTAGGCACAGGCTTTGAAAATGCTGATGTCATAATGGTGCCCATCATTGAGACTTTTTTGGTATGCAGAATGTCTTCAGATTCACTGGAAGAAATGTCACATGTAATTTAAAAAGAATCAACTTTAAGGAAGTGGTATCTTCTATAGACAGAAGAATTTCTCTTTTATAAAGAGCCTGTATATCTTCTGATTCTATAAATTTATTAGAAATAATAGTTATTTTCCTTAGTTGAGGTGACTATAATCATTATGAAGTCACTTAGTAAATTTATTTCAAAAACATAATTTATAAAATAATTTCCATATTCAGAAACACTAAATAAGTGAGAAGAGTGATCCCACTTGGAGAGTTGCTTAGGTCAATACCCACACTTTTGTCTTCTACTCCTCCTTTAATTGTGATGTTGGGTGCATGATTAAGGAAAATATAACCAAAGGACATGCTGTCCTGTGAAGTTGTTATTTGTTTGTTTTCAGGAATGTGGATTTAGAGGCGAGTCGGTCATGGGCCTCATATTCACTTTGCTGCTCATAGGTTCCTTAGGGATATCCTTTGGAGTAACTATTTTTAGCTGTAACTGAAGACTATCAGTCACAAGAAAGTTGTTTCTTTCAAACTTCTTGTTAGATTGTGGTCCAATAGAAATTTCGTGAAACCTAAATAATATTTTTTTCTATCTCAACAATGGATTCATGAGTGACATTTGTGCTTTCCAAAGCTTGGAATTCAACATTTGTGTCTCTAAGCTCAGCCACATCAAATTTCAACTGAGTATTTTCTTCTACCAGGGAAATAATCTTGGTGTAATATGATGATTTTCCATTAGTAGAAATGATAGTAATCACTTCTGTGATGTAAGTACAAGTTCCTAGCCATGGAATTGTTTTCATGAGGAACAGATTTAGATGGGAAGGAATACTTGGATGTAGGAAAACTTCAATGAACTGCCCCTCAACACCAATCCACGTTGATAGTTTGATCATCAACAATTTTTCTGATTCTGTTACTGAAAGGTCGGTCTCTTTCCCTAGTGCCAAATCAAAATCACTAGGACAGGTTTGAAGGTAAAAGAAAAAGATAGTTGAATCAATTGATAGATGAGGGGAAAGTGGAATAGCACTCTCAAGAGCTAGCACCCTTGTTCAAGGAAGTTGGGCTACTGAGTCAGGGGAATTGATTGTGGGTCTGATAATAGAGCATCCTTGGAAGGTGTGCTTGATGGCTTTATCCTGAGGATAGAATAGCATGATGGTCTGCAAATCTAAGCAGCTACAAAAAGTTATTTGGGATCTGAAAGAGGCAAAGTATTGTATGGATTCCAGTGTTTCATCAGTCAGGAGGAATCCCACTCAGCCTAGAGCCCATGCTTACTGTGCCCTTTGTTATTACTCTCCCTTTACATTCTGTTACAATAAATTCAACATCCAGACATGTGGGCTGGGAGGGCCAGATTGCTTTGAAACTTCAGCTGGCTCTCTCCAGGCCACTTGCTGGAATTCACAAGGAAGTGTTATTTCTCGGTTTGAATAGAAACTCTAGTTAGTCCCGGATCAATTGTCATCAGAATATGCAAGGAAGAAGAAAAATGTATTTGGATTATCTACACAGTGAGATTTTTATTCATAAGACAAAACTTCAGGTCAGCATCTGGTACAGGGTTCATTTTCTTCTAGATAGGTGCATCATTTCACACTATTATATTAAAATTGTGATGTGATGCACTCCAAATTCAGTGGCTATATCTTTCCACTCAGAAGCTTTAGCTATTTTCCTCATGTAGAAGAAACTGGGTTCACTATATTTGTTAGGAAAAAAATGGTGATTATTTTTGAAGCCTCTGAATTTTTACCTCTAAAAGTATCAGTGTAAAAAATGTCCCTGATGACAGCAGCAGATGTCTTAGGTTTGACCCCTACAATATCATTGGAAGAGGCAGTGCAGTCAGCTCAGCTTGGGCAACAGAGTATACCAACAGGAGAGCCTATGGAGACATTTGACTTTTAGTGTTTCATCCTTTTGAACTGTCACCTTCATTGAAGTAAGTTGAATCTGCTGGTGCAGGCTCTAGTGCTGTTGATGATAACATATTTGGGTGATATAGGTTATCCTCTCTTAAAAGTCTGGAAGATGTGGTTTCTTTTTAGGGAACATTATCAGTAAGATGAGAGTTCTGGGTAGTAGTTCCAGACATGTGGGTCTTAGCTATATTAAATTCTCTGATGGAAGGCTGGAATAGAAAGCATTATTTTTATCCTTAGTATAAATAGCAGAAGCAAACATCTTTCTCAAAAGAGAAAAGGAACTGATAGCTGTATTGATTGTACCTTCTGTTGTTTCCACCATATAAGCAATGCATCACTGGAAGCTGAGCTAAAGGAAAATGACCAAACCTTGAATCAGATGCTGCAGCTGCCCCTGTTTCATTGTCAGCAAAATCAGATATACTAGATGTGGTAGTGGCTGCTCTCCTAAATGTCTTGTAAATGGTAGGTGATCTATTTATCCTGAACAGGTCATAGCTATTTTTGAAAACATGAAAGTAGTATCAGTTGTGAATGTTCTGCTTTCCACTATGCATTTTGTGTCTGGAGAAACAGAGCATTACTTTCAGTGAGAATGATGGTGTTTTCTTCACCATTTGTGATGCTTTTCTCCTATTGATGTCTTATAAGAAAAACCAGAAGGCAGTTTTTCACTGTGTCAGCTGGAAAGTGAGTATTGATATTGGCATTACTTTTTTTAGAGTAATATACGTGCTTCTTTATTAATCTACATCTTTCTTCGCATGAGGAGTCATCTGGCTGCAGAATTTTTGGAGAAACTCCCGGGTACTTAAACTGGAACCTGTAAACCTGAGGTGGGCTCAGCACCACAGTATTGCGAACACCATTCTTGTTGTCTAACAAACTGATGTCTTCCAACAACCATGATTCTGCGGGCCAGAGATTTGGCTGGGAAGCTCTTCCAGATTTGTGTAAGTCCTACTTGGCATCCTCCAGGGCAGCTGCTACAAATACAGTTCCAGAATGGCCTCCTCACTCACATGTCTGGTACCTCAGTGCTCCCTGGCACCAATCTCTACATGGCGTGGACTTCTCATGGTCCGGTGGTGTCAGGGCAGTTACACTGCTAAGATGGCAGCTAGCATCTAAAGGCATGTTTTCCAAGAGATAGGAGTAGAAACTGAGAGTATAAGATATGGATATTTTTCTTTTATTAAAATTTTATTTGAGGCATAGAAATTTCATGTATTTCATTTATAGAGACTCAGGAACATAGTGATGCTAACCACCCCACCCTCCCTCCCGCCCACACTCCCACCTTTGTTCTTCCCTCTCTTATTCCATTCCCATTCTTAATTTTTAC